TAATCAATTTAATTCAATTAACCAATTTAGCCAAATTATAGCATAAACACATATAACGATCCAAACCATTAAATCTATTCTAAATGCTATTAACTTCATAGTACGGACCTGGATTTCGCCGAAATCGAATCGATAGCTCGAACGGAAGACAAATCAACGAAATCAAACGAACGGGTCAAATTGAGTCAAAATGCGAAATCGACCAATCAATCCGGCGTGGAGGTTAATCTGCCGGCGATATCAACTCGGGGCAGCGGCTGGATGCGGCGACGGTGACGGACGCCGGCGACAGTGGCGGAGCGGCAACTCGACGGCGGTGAGCAGCGACTGGCGGCGCTGCAATTCGTCGGCGAGGAAGGACGTCAGCAGTAGAGGCGACGTCCAGCGCTCGGCGTGGCGGCGCTGCACCTGACGGCGATGATGGCGGCGGCTACTGGCGAAGGAAACAGCGGCGGCGACTGGCTGGGGAAAGGCGACCGGCGCTGGACTCGACGGCGATGATGGCGGCGGACTTCCGGCGAAGACGAAACAGCGGCGATTGGAGACCGTCGTCGGCGGCGCTGACCCTGGCTGTAGGCGACGGGCTTCCGGCGACGGTAAGGCCGCAGTTGGCTGGTGCGGCGAGGAGGCGGAGGTCTGCGATGCCGGCGTGGTCGAACGGTAGGGGTGGACGACCGGCGGCTGGCTGCTCCAATTGGACGGCGACGATGGCTGGGGAAGACGAAGAAGAAAGAAGAATAAAGAAGAAGGAGAAGGAGAAGGACGGAAGAAGAAGAACGAACGAAAGAAGAAGATAAGGTAATCGTGTGGTAGATAATAGGTTTAGGTTTATTTAATGGTCCCATTCCTAAAAGGATTGGGCTTCGGACCCAAAATACCTGATTAAATGGTCATAACATGAGCTCCATAACTCCGATTCGCGAGCCGTCTGAACCGACGCGATCACAAAAATATTTCCTACGAGATGACATAAAAGTTGGGCTTAGAATCCAAATTATAATTTTAACCCCTTTTTGGGCCCAATTCGTAATCAATTACTCTAACAATTTAATTAATTCTTTTGGGCCAGATTTCGGGGCATTACATGACCTACCCCCTTTCAATCAATAAGTTTGATCAAAAGTTGTATCCTTCAACGTGGTGTGGTATTTGAGGCAAGGAAACCTTCAAGTATTTACACTATAGCTTTTTGGAAGGAGGAGAAGTTTGCTTCAGGATAAGGAGTTTAGAAATCTCTCTTTATCAAGCTTTTTGGGCTAACTGTGAATGAGGTAGCCTCTTTGTGGTTGTTCTTCTTATCGTTGATGAGTTATTATCTTATCTCCCCAGTCTTCCAAGGATGCTATTTATAGCTGGATTGGATAATCTATCCGTTGAATCAAAATAGACTATCCGTTGCATTTGCTGGCTCCAATTTTGAATGAAGATTGTGATTTGAAGATTCCTCGTGGGTGTTTGGACATACCCAATTGTTAAAGGAGGGATTCCTTTTTCCATAGAATCCGTCTTCTAGCTGTTGTTCAAGAATTCTGGACTATAGAACTTTACTCTGTTTGTCTTCTAGTGCTTCTTTAGGAATTCTGGACAGGTTCTTCAATTTTTAGAGGTCCAGACTTTGTCTTCGAGTCATTCGTTCTTGAATCAGCATAATTATCTTCAATCTAGCCGTTGAAAATCAAGAGATTGATTTTTTCTTACCAACGGGTAGAATTTTTTCATTCAAGACTTAGATAATTTTCTAAGTCTTTTCTCACTTGTCCGCTTTTTTTGAGAATTCCGGTCTTCCTTGAGGCATCCGGTTCTTAGCTGACAAATCCGGAAGAGTCATACTCAGTCTTCCAGGTGAGAGAGAAATCCGTGCTAGTCTTCCAACCTAGCCTTCAGCGGGTTGTAACGAGACATCCGGTTCTCATGTAATATTCCAGATAGGAGGATTTTTGTCTGCTTTGAGAAATCCTTACTTGTCTCTGACATTTCCGATCAAGATATCCAATTTCCAAAATTTCTAAATTTGATTAAGTCTTCAGGCATCAAACCGTTTAAAGAAATATCACAACTTTATTGGAAATCTCAAGAACTTGGTTTTAACAATATTTCTAAAAACAAATTACATTGAATATCTGGGGAGACCTAAAGTCCCTATTACATTCTAAATACATCATCATCAAAATCTATGATATTTTTCCCAACAACTCTTTTCGAGATTTCCATACAGCTTCTCATCGTCTAATTTCTTAATCACCAAGGTGAGGTGATTCACGTGCTCTTCTTCGCTTTTGCTATAGATCAAAACGTCGTCAAAGTAGACAACGAAAAAATGACCTATGAATGGCTTCAAGACTTGATTCATAAGCCTCATGAATGTACTCGGAGCATTGGTTAACCCAAATGGCATGACCAGCCATTCGTATAGCCTGAATTTTGTCTTGAACGCCGTCTTCCACTCGTCTCCTTCAAATATACGGATTTGATGGTAGCCACTCCTAAGATCAACTTTTGAGAAAATCTTAGACCCGTGCAGTTCATCAAGCATGTCTTCCAAATGTGGGATTGGGTACCGATACTTGATAGTGATCTTATTAATAGACCGACTATCACAGCACATGCGCCACGTTCCGTTCTTCTTTGGTACCAAGAGTGCCAGGACGTCACATGGGCTGAGGCTCTCCCTTACGAAGCCCTTTGCCAGTAGTTCATCAACTTGGTGTTGAATTTCTTTCGTCTCCTCGGGGTTCATCCGATATGCTGGTTTGTTCGGTAGGGCAGCCCCCGGGATGAGGTCAATCTTGTGTTGGATGTCCCGCTTAGGTGGGAGACCGTGTGGAACATCATCGGGGAAAACATGGGCATATTCTAGGATGATAGGCTCGGGGAAAACATCGGGGAAAACATCATCTTGTAGTTTGATGGTTCGGCTTCTCCATCTTCCAATAGGATCAAATCTTTAATCCCATTGAATTCATGTTGTTCTGCTTGTAGGATAGTGGAGATAAGAACGGGAGGTTGTTCTTTGGTTGGTTTGGCCGTGGGTGTAGGAGGGGGTAAAGGGGTAAGGGTGATCTTCTTCTTATTCATCAAAAATGAATAAGTATTGGCATAACCATCATGTTGCACACGGTGATCAAACAGCCATGGTCGTCCCAAGAGGATGTGGCAAGCATCCATCGGGATGATATCACACCACACGTCGTCTTTGTACGAGCTGCCAATGCTCAAGGAAATGAGACTTTGTGTGTCAACACGTAGACCCTTGCCATGATTCAACCATTGAATCGTATATGGTTTCGGGTGTGGTGACGTCTCCAAACGCAGCTTGTCTACCATGGTTTTGGAAGCCACATTGGTGCAACTTCCACTATCGATGATGAGGGAACATACCTTCATTTGGACAGTGCAACGGGTGTGGAATATGTTTTCCCGTTGTAGTTGTTCCTCGGGGCATGCTAGAGTGCTCAACGTCCTTCGGATGACCAAGAGTTCGCCATCATCGGGACCTACGTACTCATCTTGTTCTTCCACTTCTTCCGCTTCTTCTTCAACCCAAGTTGGGTCACAATCTTCTTCATCATACTCGACGATTGCCATAACCTTCTTATTAGGACACTCGTTAGCGTAATGACCTCATCCTTGACAACGAAAACAAACGGGGGCCTTCTTGTTGGGATCAGCCCTTGTAGGGAAAGAAGAGGAGGGTATTTTGGGTGGTGTTGGGGTTGAAGAGTTGTGGGTTTGGCTGTGGGCAGTAGGGGGTGTTTTGGTGGAGGGAAAGGGTGTTTTAGAGTTATAATAGGTGTTTTTTTGAGAGGTACGGTTAGGCCATGTATAGGTGGGGTTGGGTTTGGAAAAAAGGGCCTTGGACTTCTTGATTTGTGCTTCAACTTTGAGGGCTAGCTTGGTGAGCTCTTCGAGGGTTTCGTAGCTTTGTAACTCCACCGTATTGGCTATTTGTAGGTTCAAGCCAAATAGGTAGAGTACAAAGGTTTGCTCATCGTCTTCTTGTAGGTCACACCTCAAGAAGAGTTCCTCGAACTCTCGGTGGTAATCCTCCACAGATTTTGAACCTTGCTTAAGCGTTTGGAGCTTAGAAAAATTCTCTCGAACATACTCAGCGGGTAAGAACTTCTTCTTTAAGAGGGACCTCATCTTAGTCCAAGTAGACACTGGTTCTTTACCGTTCCTTCTTCTTTTGGTGCCAGTATTGGTCCACCAAGTGGATGCATACTTGCGGAACTTCAAGGCCACGATCTTGACATTCTTCTCATCGGAGACGTCTTTGAAATCGAAAACACGTTCCACCGTCTCTAGCCATTCTGGGAACTCGTCCGGGTCATTCTTTCCATCAAAAGTCGGAATGTCCACCTTGAAGTTAGAACCTTCATGGATGGGAGCCCTGGTTTTGTTGATGCCACTAGTGCTAGCATCATCCTCATGATCACTTCCTTGTAGTGCATTCAGTTTGATCTTGGTAAAATTTGCCACTTCCTTAGCCAAGTATTCTACTTGGACTTTCAAGGCTGCATTGGAGGCAACAAGCTCCTCATGAGACATGGGTTGGGATTCGTTTGACATGGTTGATGTGGGAAAAGGTGAGGAAGATCGTTTAGTTTGGCTGTGGGGTTTTGGGGTAGAGGGAAGGGAATGATGGTGAGTGGCCCTTGGGGATGTTCAACACTTAGCGCTGATACCAAATGTTATACCCGAGCTCCGAGACTAGGTTTAAGTTTAAGAACAAACTCCTCAAGTTGCAGGGAAGGGGGAATAATCGATTGCTTCAGTTTCTGGGGAAGAATTGAAGGAGTTTCAGAGGCGATTGATAATCGATTAATAGGGAAGTGTTAATTGATTATTGTGGACTGCAGATTTTCTAGGGGAATCTGATAATCGACTATTGTAGAATGACAATCGATTACAGAAGGTTGCAGGGGTTTTACGAAGGATGGATATTCGACTATCAATAGTGATAATCGATTATTTGGTGGCTCGGAAAAAGGGAAAGAACTATTTTTTTGGGAATGGGAAAAAACCAAGTTGGTGTTAAGAGATATCACACACCCTTATCTTAAATTGGGGTTGAGTCTAGCATTCAAATAAGATATTACACACTTATTTAAATAACTAGAACCTAAAACTCACACTTAAGAGAACCACTCTTAAGATATAGGATTGGGAATTTGAAATGAAACACACAAGTGAATCACTTTGATTAAAAATGGAGTACAATATGCCATTACAATGGCCTATGGCCGAGATATATATAAGCACACCAAGGGGAGAGGGAAGCTTCCTAGTACATTCACTTATGGGGAATAATGTCCACTTATTTTAATGGAATGAAAACAAAGAGGAAGGGTGAGGTTGTGGGGGAAGGTGTTTCGGCCTGGTGGGGGGGAGTAAGGGGTGGAAAAGGAGACTCACTTATTTGGCTGGAAATGGGGATTCTTTTATGGTGGGTTTTGGTGGGTTATGCACGGCCAAGGTGGGGAAGCAAGGAAGGAGGGATATGGCAGGCCTTTTGGCTCCTCATGAGTTGGGTTTTCTTGATGAATTATGAACCAATATATGCTGAATTGTCCTTGGCCTGTTATGGTTGTTTATTCAGCTTGGTTGGGGGAACACAAGGGGACCACTACTAGNTCGGCCTGGTGGGGGGGAGTAAGGGGTGGAAAAGGAGACTCACTTATTTGGCTGGAAATGGGGATTCTTTTATGGTGGGTTTTGGTGGGTTATGCACGGCCAAGGTGGGGAAGCAAGGAAGGAGGGATATGGCAGGCCTTTTGGCTCCTCATGAGTTGGGTTTTCTTGATGAATTATGAACCAATATATGCTGAATTGTCCTTGGCCTGTTATGGTTGTTTATTCAGCTTGGTTGGGGGAACACAAGGGGACCACTGCTAGTACATATTGGGGAGATAATGGGTTGGGTTTTGGCTCCTAGTTTTCGGCCATTCCAGGGAAAAGAAAAGGGGTTTGTGGTTTTAGCATGTGGTTTGAAATGTGATGAGGTGTTGTGGGGGTGTGTGGGTTCAGCCAGGGTAAAAAAAAGGGAAAGGACTTGGGTTTAATTTGGATATTTGGGGGGAGGTGGTTTTGGGTGGTATTTTCGGCCATCAAGGTGGGGGAAGGTCCAACAGGACCAGGGTCGGATTGTATGGTTTATGGGTGATGTATTCATTCCAAAAAGGATTAAAACATTTGGACATTATTCCACAGATTTGTTTAAGGACTCGAGGATCGTTGTTGGTGGTCGGGGGTATATCACACTCTTAAGATATAGGATTAGGAATTTGGAATGAAACACACAAGTGAATCACTTTGATTTTAAATGGAATACAATGTGTTTCTACACCCAGGCTTATTGCTGAATATATAGGATCACATTGGAGGGAATAAGGGAAAATACAACTCACTCAAAATAATGCCCATGTGCTAATGTTTCTTAAGTGGAATGAAATCAGGGATATGGGTTGTTTGGTGGGGTTTTGGGCTGTTTTTGAGTTGCAGGAAATGTTGGGGGAAGGAGGAATGAATGTGGGGAGGGCTGAGGTTGAGGGCCAAGGAGTGGGGGTAAGATGAAGTGGTACATTTGGCTAGGTATTTGTGGAGGTTTTTGGGGGAATTTAAATTTGGTCAGGGTTGGGAGACAAAGGGGTGTGTGTGGGGTGTGTCATTTGGAGTTTTGTTGTGGGGATTGGATGTATTGTTGTGAAAGGAAAATATCCCCTGGCATTTTGGGTTATAATTTGAGTGTATTGGGGAACATAATGGGGACCATGCTGGGTGTGTTTTTGGACACTTATTTTCGGCATTGTAAAATAAGAGGAAAGGGAAATTGTGGCTTAGTTTTCTTTGGATTCCTGGGAATGGATTGTGAAATGTTGGGATTGGTTATTAAGGTGGTGATGGGTTCAGGGTAAGTATGGTTAGGGTGCATGGTTTGGTGATGATTTCATTCCAGAGGGGGTCATAACACTTGGACATTATTCCATTGATTTCCTTAAGGACTTGAGGGTGATTTGTGGTGCTCTGGGATATATCAAAAGAACTCCCTCTTTCTCTCCCAATTTCGTCCACCCCCTTTATCCCATTTAAACACTTCATTTCTTCATCAAAAAACCACTCCATAATATTGCTTTTCTCCTGCCCTTCATTCTGCCCTATCACCTCTTCCAAACAACCATACTTTCTTCACCATTTCATACACAAATCTAACCTATTCTTCACCATATATTCCCCTCTATAATCTGCCCTTATTTATCCATAGTTTTTCCTAAGCTTGGGTACATCATTTGGTATCAGAACTAGTTGTTGCTCATCTCTCAAGGACCATACACACTTCCCCAACTCCCTCCCTAAATTCGGCCTAACCACATTCAATCCCTACTCCCACTTCATCCCTTTTCCTATCAACCATGTCAAACCAATCCCGAAGCATGTCTCATGAAGAACTCATAGCCGCAAACGCTGCCTTGCAAGCTCAAGTGGAATACATAGCCAAAGAAGTGGCTAAGCTCACAAAGCAAAAGATGTCCATGCTACGAGATAGTGAAGATGAAGAGGAAGCTAGCTCTAGTGCCACCATGAGAGCTAGGGCTCATGAAAAGTCTCATTCTGACTTCAAAGTTGATATTCCAATCTTTGAAGGAAAGAATGATCCGGATGAATTTCTTGAGTGGTTAGAAAATGTAACGCCCTACAACCCAGCCTATTAGAATTGATTATTTTAAATAATTAACTACTGTTCCGGTCCAAAGTTGGGGAAAATAAAAGTTCTTAGAAAAATTATTTGAACACGTCATTAAATTTGTTTTGACTATCTGATTCCAAAAACGTAAACGGTTTTCAATTCGGACCCGTTCGGGGGAAAAACCGCGTACCGTTCAAATCAAATTCTACACAACAGAGTGGAATTTAGGGAGGTAAATCCCCAAATTATGAACCACACGCCACACCCTTCCTCTCCCATAACTCCTCTCCCTTTAATCCTTCATTAGTAACCCATTAATTCCCCATTCATGTTCTCCATTTAAACCCCCCTTCTCTCTTCACTTCCCCATCACATTTTGTAACCTCCACTCACACACTCAACTCCCTTCTCCCTTCTCTTGTTCGGCCAAGCAGTAGCAGCCCAGGGAGACGGTTCCGGTGAGTAGACGAGGAGGAAGAAGAGAAGGAGGTGACCACGAGAAACCATTCGTTGTTCATCCATCGTCATCCATTCGTTCATCTCGCCGTATCATTCCGTCAACCCCTTCAATAGAGTTGAGTAGTTGTCTCCTCTAATTCTAGAACATCAAGTCATAATCTATGTTGTTATATTCATAGGAGTATTGTACGCAACCTACGTAGAAACTATGCATGTTCGTAGGTTAACCATCCAACATACGGGTGTCCATGTTATCAAGTTATGTTCTCGTTAATATAAATGTTTTGAAACCTTGTAAGTTATTCGATTATCTAGCATGGAAATATAAACATTCGTTTCTAAAACTTCCAACATTTTGATGACAAACAAATAGATTTAATGGAAGTCAGCGTGCCTTGATAATCGAGTTACAAAATAGTACAATCGACTATCAGGCCACGCTGGACTCCTCAGTTGTTTCAGCATAGCGAGATAATCGATTATCACATTATCACATATGTGATAATCGACTATCAGGCCCTGCGGATTCTTGGGTCTGAGTTAGCTTCACCGATAATCGATTATCACATAGGCAATAATCGATTATCAGGGCTCTCTGAACTTAGGACTTTCTGAACAAACCAACTTGACAATCGATTGTCATAGGGTGACAATCGACTATCACAGTCTGCGGGACTTTGGGGGCAGAAGCTGCACAACATGATAATCGATTATCAACAGTAGACAATCGATTATCAGCCAGTTCTGAACCTAAGGCCATCATGTTGAACAAATTGTAATCAAACCCATATGTATGCATTAAATTTAACTTCTTTCTTCAATCAATGCATTCAATTCATCATGTTCATCCTAGACGCATGTCCTAGGGTCATCATCATGTGCATACCGCTGTAAGGAGGTTAGGCTTTCGTGCGTCTACTACAGTGGGCCCGTCCAGGAACCTTTGGGATCCAACGGGTTTTCATCAGGTGGGCTTTGTGTACGTACATGGTAGTCAGGCTACGGCTACCACCCAGTTTTGCTAGTTCACTTGCGACGTTTTGTCAAGCCCGGCTCATTACCGGAGTGCAGGGGTGATCCTGTTAAGTGAGACTAAGTCAGGGGTATCATGCATCAAGTCATATCATCATGTATGTTCCCCATCATGTCCATATTCAATGTGGTAGTATATCATTTTGTTATGTGTAATAATATCCCATCAAGTACAAATTAGTCAGTTAGTAAATATGTGTTTTTCCGTATGTTAAGTACAGGTATTAATATGTGTATGACCATATGGGTTATCACTTCATGTTCTTTTGTTAGATTCACTCCTAAGCTTTTGCTGAGCATGTAGTTGTGTTCTTTGCTACACGCAGGTAGACATGACGGTACAGGTCTGGAGGACAGTGATGGTGGGAGGATGGGCGGCGCACGGACAAGTTCAATATTTAAATACATTTAATAAATTAATCATTTGGGCATGAACCCACCATATGTCATTTCACCTATTTTGGACTTATTTATTCACTTCCGCTTTTACTCTGCATTTATAT